AGGTAGTTTGCCAAACGTACCGAGACTGGCATATCAATTAAACTTTGCTGCGTATCGCCCTAGTTTTAGTTAAAGTTAAGCACGAATATGAGAATTAACATACTGGTAGTACAGCAATTTGAATTATTGATTGCAATCAAAGTGTGGTTTTACGACAAAGAATATTGCAATTTTTTAACTAAAGATTTGTACAAAGGCTGAGGTGTGAAATTTTATTAGCTACGGTATTTCCATAATAACATGTGGATACGAGTATTCTATGATTAACACCAGTATTTTCTACACAATCATATCTATGTTCAAAACCAAAAGTAACTTTTTTGATTGAAACAAATCAATTCAACGCATCGAATTTCGGGTGCCGTTAATTTCTAATTACAAGTTTCATATTGCCAACCCGCATTGACTCAATATTCAATTCTCAATACTCAATACTGTTATTGCTTTCCACATGTATTCTTAGGTGGTAGTATTTATAAATAGTTAACATGGACCCTGTCGGGCACAGCAAAATAAGTGGGATAGGAAAGAGGAAGCTCTTATCGGCTATGTTACTTATTATTGAGCAAGCGTGGTGATTAATGCTCAAACCTTCTCCGTTTGAGAAAAGGCCTTTGCTCAGCAGTGGGTACTTATGTGCTGATGATGTGTGATGTAATCTTGTGTAGTCTTCAAAAATATTATTGACCCAATATTCGTTATTATTTTTGTGTTCATTTTCAGCAACGGGCCGCTAAAGTAAAACAGTGACTAACGTATTCGGCTTAAAGATATTAACTGTTCTAAAAAGACAATAGGTCACCAATTGTGTAGTGGTTGTAAACTTAAAAGAGACCTTGTTGAATGCATATGGTAAAGACATTTTAGCATAAATGCATTAATGGTAGTTGGAGGACAATGAGAATAACAGTAACCTGGCAATTACTGATAGTCTCTCGTTAAGAATCCTTGTGTGACGCAAGCTTTTTCTTGTGAACCAAGCCTAGCATTGAATGTCAGAGTAATTATAATATTCAAGTAATTGAAGGTAACAACAAGATTTTAAAAAAAATAACTAATTTCTAGGTAATTGTTATTTATACTCAGTTAAATGTCCAAGTTAATTATTTATTTACTCTAAGGGGCAAAATTGGCAAAAGGCTACATTTGGCTACATTCAAAATTTTCCCATAGTCCAGCTAATCTTAGCAATGTTCAAATTAACGCTTAAGAGTACTGACTAAAGATTAACACGTTCATCGTGATAATTCTATTGTTTTTTTTTTTTAAATTCAAAGATGATATCGTGATCTAAAACTTCGTTTATTGGAAATCCAGTACCAATGAATGCAATCTTCATACAATTCAACGTAAACAAAATAAGGGCCGCAAGTAAGCTTGGACACGTAACCGAACTTCTGACCCCAGCATTATGTTCTCAGTCAACCACCTTGAAACACTTTCGGTCTTTGACAATTTAATTTACGTCAACTGAGAACTGGCCAACAATTTGAATAGTATTTTAAATAATTATAGGATTTGCAGAATTTTCTACAACGTCCTATTAATTGATGCTATTAAGGTTTAATTTTATAATTGCACTCTGTTAAAACTTGAAATGAACAGAGTAAATATTACATTTGAAAGTAGCAGATAATTCACAAGATTAAAATCACTTTACCGTTAGCTAAAGAGCTAAATCTAAAGTCATAAAAATGCTCTGTAAGGTAAACTTGAACATTTTACTACCTCTAATCCCACACAGATTTTGTTAAATCCAGATTTGGATAACCACAGTGTAGAGAAATGGAATGCATTGAAATGGGTATATACGAAGTTGAAAATGTTTTTCTTGTTCTTAGTCAGGTCAGTTGTTTAAAACTTAAATCTTTCGATCATGGATCTTCTGAATATTTTCTGACCTAAAAGAACAAGTTTTATCTATAAAGTCAATATGAGTATGTCCTACACAGACATAATATTATAGGAGTAAATGCTCTTTAATTCTATGACTTCTAGACTCCTGTTACTGCTGTTAATTGCTTGAGAGCAAAACTCATTACCACTTTTTACCCGACTTAGTTATTAGAACAGTATTTGCGGTCTGTAGTCGTGAAGACCATTAACACCATAACCATGTTTGCAGATAAATAAGTTAAAAATCACACATGGAAAGTTAATAAAAAAGTGAACTTGACAATCAATTCACACATGATTTAGAAACTTGCAGTTTTCACCAATGAAAGTTTTAGTGCAGATGCTAAATAAATCATTGTTTCGCTAAATTCTTGTTTAGTATTATTTAAGTGTTCATTTTAACTCAATAACAATAAAGAAGATAGGTAGTGTAATAGTGAGCTATGAAAATAAAAATAAATGTGTGCCTCTTTCAATTAATTTGTTAAAACATAGATTAATATGTATATTACGTATTGCGTTACAAAATGAAGATTACATAAAAAGATAAGATCACAAATATAATAAAACAGAGGTGAACTCATGTCCTTGTTTCGCTACTTCAACGTTTCTTTGCAAATATTTGATTATGATATGCCCACTGTGCTTACAACAGCCAAAAATACGAATAGCATCTACTTGATGACGTTTTAAGTGTTTTGAGATAGAACTAATATCCTTATCATCTTACAAATATTATTCTGAAGTTATTGTGCTTGATTATTTTCATGTAAAACTTTCTGGATTCATTTGTTATAAGACAATGTACCTTCGTGCTGGGTATTATAATAGACCACCATGATTGATACATTTGGTTTTTTCGTATTGTTGTAACCCTAAGTTACAAAACTGTATTTCAGAATGTTTATTAATAAAACTCTGTTCTTTATACATATACATTTTGGAATACATATGTGCATATGATAAATGTGATATTATATTAAGTCGTGATGCCCCGAAGGTAAAGGCTCCCGCTTTTAAAACACGACGCTACGAAACTTAGCAAGTACCAATGTGTCTGTATTTAGACACTATTGACAAACGGTGAAGGAGAACGTTGAAAGGAAACGTGGACTTATAATTTCTAAATATAAGTTTGAAGTCACCAATCCGCCTTGAGCAAGCGTGGTGATTAATGCTCAATTCTTTAAGGTGTGAAAAGAGGCCTTTGCTCATCAGTGTTTACCTATATTCTATAGGCTGATGATGTATGATGATGATGATAATTATAATACTCACTGTAATCATATGAATATTTAAAAGTATTCAGAAATTTCGTATTAAAATTACATGCACATAGCTAATTCTAAAATGATGAATGACTATAACGGGAATGAAGTTCATATAGACGTAGACAATAGAGTACGGTAGGACAACAGAATTGTTCAATTCAATGCGTGTACGCACATCTATCAGTCAATAGGTAATAACTGTTAATGTTTTATACCAAACGGACACTGCTAGAATTAACTGTTTAGTTTGTTTTGACTACATTATGGAGGTCACTGATAAAAGTAGGTAGTTTTTAAACATTTTGAGTACAACAATTTACATAAAGTCACACCAGCTGCTTCTTTTCTACCTAAGAAGTAGGTTTATTATTTCTTACAGAAGCCTTTTGCATGGAGGTTTTAATCGGAGGTATATTGTTTATACACAATTGTTTCTTTTTTGTTGTAGAATATAAAACACGATCTTTTGGGTTCTTCATTGTCTATTAACGTATTATCTTTCTTCTTGTCTTTAGCCTCAAAATGTATTAAAATGAAGACTGCTTGCTAGTCAAGACATAATTAAAGTTTAACAAAAACCAATTATTTCATAACAGTTATTGGATGAATGTTTATTCGAAGAACTCTTAATAATAAGCGTTTCACATTCACATTCACTATTCATGAAATACAATACTTGATCTAAGTCGTGTGATATTCATCTTCGTTCGTCATAACTCGTTAAAATATTTCTAAGCACATGCACTAACAAATCCACTCATTCATTAAACTGTGGTTTCACATGCCTCTCTATTTATTCTCACACTTATCTCGACACTCTCGATAGTAACAGCTGCTTACGATTGTAATTTCACACTTGGTATGATAAGATTCTAAGTGCATACCGCATAATAGGTGTTATTTTTCTTTAATTCTGTATTGACTTTTTGTGAGATTTATCGTTCACAAAGTGGTCTCATGTGATTGTTGTTGAAAATAGTTTGAATTAAATCTGCAAAATAATAAAACATATTCACATTTTTATTCTGAGCTCTTGGGGTCTATCAATGAAGATACATAGTCTTGTGAGAGTAGAACTACTTACATTGATTTCTGTAAAGCAACAGATAGTTTTTACAATATGGATGTTAAAAAGTTTACATTTACCCTATCACGTCCATTCACTGCAATGAGTCACAAATATCCGCCGACAATTTCAATCTTAGCAACCTTGTCAGTATTTATTAATTTGTTTTATATCGAAATTATTCCATTTGGTAAACGTGAGTGTTACAGTCAAACGCGTTTTAAAGTTATTAAACAAATTTTCTATTTATAAACATGCAGTTTTAAATATTTATATCATTACATATGATCAAGATGGCTTTTATAACCAATCGATATGCACTGATGGTAATAAAAACGACAATGATAATATTAAATATTCAATCAGTAAATGGAGTACCAACTAGTCTAAAGAACCAAAAGCCATTAGCCTCAATAACTCATATCTTTGGTATAGCTTTATGATTATTTATGTTTTAGCAAACAGTGTAATTGAACTTGTCTGCTAATACTGTCTCATCATAAATATTTAAGAGACGTAATTGTTCAATTTAGTATCCTTGAATATTAATATTATCATTTGTAAATTGTCTTATGACAACTTGATGTATATTACTTTGCCTAGCAATATTTTTATGGTAAACACCATATGTATCAAGATATTCTATACCTAAGAAAAATTTGTCTTTGCATTTTCTATATTATGATTTTGATATTTGAAGTCTAAAATCGATTAAAGCCTGTGTATAACAGAATCCTTTGCTAATAAAAGTATACTTTGTTTAACAGAGGGCCGCGTGGAAGTTTCACGGGAGAACAAATACCTCAGCACAATGGCACCAGGCAAGGTGTTCGGAGAGCTGGCCATTCTCTACAACTGCAAACGTACTGCCACCATCAAGGCGGCCACGGATTGCAGACTATGGGCCATCGAACGCCAATGTTTCCAGACTATCATGATGCGTACTGGTCTTATCCGCCAGGCTGAATACACTGACTTCCTCAAGAGGTAAGAACTGTTTATCTATACTAATATTATAAAGTGGTAAAATTTGTATGTTTGTAAGTTTGTATGTAGGGGGTAATCTTTGGAACTGCTGGTCGGATTTGCAAAATTCTGATACATCTGACACTGATAGTTGATTAGCTACAATGTTCCTGATTGCTCTAGGCTAAAAAACATCACGCTACGATTAACGAACGAAACCGCGCGAGAGTAGCTAGTTTATCATATTATTTTCTTTATCCCTGGTTCATTCACAAAAAGATCTATATCTAAATAAATCTTATTATTTTAATCTAACCTTAAATGTGATATCGATACCTTTACTTATATATTCTTGTGACCAGCGCTAACCTATTATGTAGATATCGTTAACAGCTTTTCAAATTCAATCGCGGTACAAGACAATGTTCAATATCTTTATTTGGGTATGTACCGTGGGTGGCTTGACTTGCAGGGTACGTCGTTACTTCCTCCTTAGTATCAAATATTGATTTCAAAATTATCTTGACAGTATTTTAGGTCGTTTTACGCAAAACAGTATCGATTTTATTTAGAGTTTTATCTTGCAATTAATGTTTTGGTAAGAGGACTATTATTAATTTTCTTATAACCCAGAAAAGGATTTCAAAGCAGGTTTGGTAATATTTATTTTTATAGCTCAGTAACACGTCTTTTTATTTTGACATTTTAATAATATAAAGTCTGTAAAAATCTGCACAGACGGGACAAAATTGTTAAGAGCTCTTTTAATGGCGACATTAAACCTCTTTGACGATGATAGATAAATCATATACACTCGTATTCTTTCACAATAATTATTTTGAGGATGATGAGCGTTTTTTTTTTATTTCTTTAAATAAAATCTACAGATCATTCACACTTGGCACGAAATAAATCCGATACTAATATCCACATTTTGTAAAAGTTTTATCTTTATTTAGTGGAGCTATTTCGACTTATCCTTCCTTAAAAGATTCGTTGTTTACAGCATTGAGGTCAGTAACCTCTCTGTGTTGACTTGACTGACAAACAAAATGTTCGGATGTGTATTTTGTTCTAACAACGTTTCTTTAAAAGTAAATGGCCTAATTCCGATTTGAACACATGTTTGTTCTAATTGTATTGGCATTCTTTCTTCTACGAATTTTAATTTAAGACGTAACATTTTTTCACTTTGCTTCATTATATTTTAATTATTTTCGTCTTCAGCTCTTTCTTTGATTCCTTTTACTTTCATTGTTACATAACGGTAATTTTATATTCAGTATTTGTTTATTTGGTTGAAGCATAAGTTTTGTTCAAGACAGTGAATTTCAATTTTATTATAATCACTCACCTTTTGTTTTATTTAACACGTTAAGAATAACAAACAAAGGAGACAGTAACTTGTTTTTACGTTCAATATGTGCATGAAATCGGCTAACAATGTTGTATTATTCATATCCTCGCGACTACTGGTTCTTTACAATATGCAAGTCTTCATTATCATCTTCTAAATGGTTTCCATAAATATCTATATTAGTCGAACGCAACAATACAAACTTCCCTCTGAGAGTATCACCGATGACAGAGCAGGATATTGACCTTAGGAGACTTATGCAAATGCAATGGGCGTGCAATGGCCCATTCTTCTGCTTTCGACGGACTCACACTCTTACATTACCGTCTGCGATGCGGGCCTTGACACGAGCCGAGTATGTGAACAGATTGCAACGCACGAATGTTAATTTATCAATAACATGAACGATGTTATTGGAACGATCTTCGCGAGAGTTGAAGACATCAAAACATTCACATTCATGGTAACCTACATTTCAATTATCGAATCGGAAATACGGTAGCATAAATATTATTATGTTTACCGCGTCGTAAATATTTTTTAATAGAAAATATTATAAAGAAAAGCACAGATATTTACAAGTTCTTGCTCTTATATTAAAACCTTTTTGAGCTCTAGAGCCATAAAAGTTTTATTTGCTTATGTCTCAAGTGTCGTGTAATTCTAGACAGCCTTCCATTTAGTATCAAGGGTATCGTGTTGTAGAATGCTTAGCATCTGTTACGTTGCTTTAGATCCTATGAAATACTCAAACAAGTTCGTAGTGCGGTGATCCATCTTAGTTGAAGCCATCATCTTCAAGATTAATGTCTCTATAGCGATGGTAATCTTGGTTGTTGCTTTATTTGAGAACTTGTCAGCTTGACGTTGAAAATAAGAATAATAATGACTCAGATTGGAAAATAAATATATCTTCTTTAGGCATTCAGGTTAAGATTCAACACAGTTTTATTTTAAGATTAAAGTAGGAAAGTATGTTTATAGCACTTTTTGCTGGTCCAATTCTGTACGATCATCAATGATACAGTGAATGAGCACGCAATAGTTTGGCGTGCATTTAACTCTTGAAGCAATTCAGTGTACACGCACAGATTGTTTATATTCATCTAAGCTATCGAAGTAGCTATAAAACAAAGCCATTGTTGGCGAAACCAGTGTCAACGCAATGTTGCCCAAGCACTCGCGCGCAATTTACGAAATACTCACTTACTAGCCGTCACGTTTGCAAGTTGACATTTTGTGATTGCAATCCTTTCACTGCACAGACGTAATAATCTATTCTGAGAAAGCAGGACCAGTCAGTGCATAAGATGTGCATAATTTTTAAAATAGATACGTAATCAAAATGCTAGTTATATTTTAGTCTGGGTCCCTAGACTGATTTATTAGCTTCGTTGCGCCATACATTGTCATTGCCAAAGTAGAAATGTTGATTTGATATGGCATGGCAATGTTGATTACAAATCAACAAGTTAATAAGTTATAAAAAGGGTTAGGTAAATTTTTACCTCTACCTCTTTAATGAAATTTTTAATTCTGTAAAAAATAAAGGATGTGTGATGTGAGATCTATTGAAAAAGCAATTAATTATGTGCCATATATAAAAGAGTTAGATCACTAATAAATTAGTGATCGATGTTAATAAGCCACTATTACTGTCGCATGTGACCAAAGATTGTTCAACATTATAAGTAGGTATAGGCATAATTAAAAGTAATCTCATCGGATCAAAACTTTTACCTTAGATCAAGCAGTCTGATGCAGCACTTTGCTTATTTCGATTGTTTTTTATAAGAATTTGTAAAATATGATTATGATTGTATAAGAATGCGTTTACAAAGGACGAATTCTTGCATATGAAGCAAATGGATGTTCTGTATGAGGCTCGTTGCAGTAACTGATAAGTACAGCCAAGTTAACATTAAAAAGATTGTTTCTTATTTATCTTTCCAGACAATTAAATTCAGGCAGTAGGTATGTACATATGTGTGTTTGATGTTCAGTGTAAAAGTAACGTTTGACGGCACATTGATACCATTGTCATTTACCAGTCATTAGAAAGATTCTGTGACGTTTGAAAGATCACTGATAGCGTTCATTGTGTTTATTTGTTCGTTGTAATGAGTATTATACTTGTGCGTAGTAGTCAAATATTTAGTCCTAATGTTTGTTTGAACAAGATTTCTTTATTTGCATCGTATTTTAGTGTTGTGTTTACACTGTAAATAATTAATTATATTGCGCGTTTAATTGTAATGACTGGTGTTCGTTTATGAATATTATTTGCAATTTATTTTTTTAATTACTTAGTATGTTTAGTTACAGAAGTTAATAAATAAATGAAGTGAAAATTGTAAGGTGTTTTGAAGTCTTCTATTGCTTTTTAATATCTGTTCCGATAACAGTTTTGATGAAATATTGGATGCACCACTAATCATGTTGTACGTGTAGATAATCGCTAATGATATTAAGTTTTCCTCTGTCCAAGATACTGATCGTGGCGTAGCAGTTTCTGCCTCGACATACTTTAGTTAATTACTCGTTTGTACATTAGCTTCAAGTTACACGATAGATGGTGCAATATAACAACGCAACTACATATCAATTTACACAATGTTATTGTTGATTATTGTTTGGGGAAGTAGACAATTGATTCTCGCGTCTGTAGCATCTTGATGTCTTTCTTTGTGGTCTCATTTTTAAATGCTGTGTTATTGACAGTTTCAGTGATTATAAAAATTTTATTTTTACTCTATCGTTGCCTCAAATTTGCCTTTGAATAAATCTAAATGCTAAGAATAAAATTTTTATTAACAGCTAGGATATAGTCCAAAATATTTCCATGAATTCAGAATTATGTTGATCTCAAAAGATAATGTAGGACTTAGGAGTAACAGGATCGTAAGTAATGATATGATCTTAAATTCCACAAAAATTTTAGTTTTACTAAGAATTTTATTATAAAATTGCACGTCTAAAGGACAAGACCTCAACCTAAGAAAACGGGTTAGACCAGCCAGTCATTTTTGTTAATAAAGTAATAGATACAACAAAAACTCCAGCCATTCAATACAATATAATAAATTCAATCCGGCTTGACATTGCGGAACTACGTACTGTCAAATTGGGCAAGGCCATTCGAACCTTGTTCTAAGGTCGGAATTGACTCGACTAAAAGAAACTAAATATTTTTTTTTTCGTACATAATAATTCGGTAAGATGACGGTGTTTTTTTATTCAGTTTTTGAAAATTTAGCCCTCATGGATTGATTTTCATTACAAAACCCTTTACATACTCGATCACATCGAAATCGTTTTAGCCGTTGTCGAGATCCTACACACAAAAATTGCTCGTTTAATTGTGTAAAATAAGTACCTCTTAAGGCCTATGGAATCTAAAAATATTTTAAAAGCTATAAATATTATCTAAGTTTTGTTATTGTATCCGAGAGAAAGGATATTAAATGTACTTATGTATTATTTTACGACAAATTATACGCCTTTTGTTTTTAACAGATTTCTTCAACCCAACACATTACTCGATTCTTAGTAAGATGTATGGACGATTCATTAGCCGACAATGTTTTTAGCCTCTTCTCTGAAAAAGCAATTTACGAGACACGTAATTGGCACTCACTCAGTGAAATTAATTTTTTGTTCAACATGGTCACTTCTCCTAGAATAGAAGTTCTTTTTTATGGTATAGGTCGGCAAACGTGCAAGCGGTTTAACCTGATGGTAAGCAACCGCCGCCCGTGAACACCCGCAACACCCAAAAAGTTACGAGTGCGTTGCCGGCCTTTTAGGGATGAGGACTTTGGATATTTCAGGACTGGGAAGGGATGGGGGAGGGGGAGGGATTGGGCCTCCGCTAACCTCACTCAGACGGCGAAACAACGTTGTGGTTGTTTCACGCGCTCCGGTTTCCTGTTAGGCCGTGGTATCGCTCGCATTCGTGCCAAAACGTGGCTCTCCCACACTTAAAATTATGGACGCTAAAACTGACACAATTGTCACCAAATACATAGAAAAATATAAAAAGGGGAGTCTTTGTCTATAGTTTAGTGACCGTGAAAAATGATATGATGAAAGCAATTTTCGTTCGCGCTGACTGTGACGCACAGTTACGAGAATATTGTACTGTTCTGCTGACTAGTTTCTTTTATGTGGGTTTAATTGTACGATAAGTGCTTTACTCTCGTTGTGACTTCGTTTATAGACCCATTAAATAGAGATCAATACAATCGTTCGAGTTATTTTCTATAGTAATACGTTTACCGTCGTAATTGTTGTCTTTGCGTGTGCTACTGTTGACTGTCTTTCGAAAAATACTACACATATAAGAAAAGAAGGATATCAAGTATATAAATGAAGTAGTTGATCTTAGAAAATATATTTTGTAATCTGGTAGGTAGTAAATATTTATTAATATAAATCTAAAATAAATTCTTTCATTAATATTATACAGATTATAAAAGGTTTTATACAATACCTTAGAACAGTGTCGTAGTGAACTATAAGTATTCTTCTAAGATTACGATTTAAGCCACTAAAGCTATAAAATTATTTATGCAAATCTATCAAAGCTTTACAGTAAAAAGACGTTATGTTATGGTGTTAACTGACTACAGTATCGTCCAAAAGTACTTACAAAAGTAACTATTTGATAACTAGAATATAAAAGAATATCTTAATCTATGAATGTAGAACATGGCAAAAAAATCACCACCTCTCAATCCAATCAATGAACAACAACACAAAAATTACCATTCAAAAAAAAATTAGGTCTTTTCAATTAAAAAAAAACTAAGTAAATAGTTATTACACTTTTAAATAAATGATTTAACAATATTTTTTCATGAAAATTGTTATGGTATTTGACGTGAAAATAGACAATACCGCCTATACCGTCGATTTCAACAAAGCTTTTGAATTTGAGTAGTAGATATTCAATATTGCTTGTAATTATAATGTATATTTCTTTCTACTTCTTGAAGTAAATCAAATGATATGTACAAAGGTATATTTATATTTAGGTTTATATTATATGAGTCACTAAAGGAAACCTCTCGAAGTTGACCAACCACCTTTTAACATTCACTTTCAACCAACGGCTGGTTGGATTGATAAAATATGTTCACAGCTAAGTTAAGGTAATTTGACTCCAAGACTGGTAAAGTTATATAAGCATTTAACTATAATTATTTATAAATTGCTGTACGGAATTTTAAAGAATATGACGTAGATGAAGTTTAGATAGTAAAAGTAGTATGTCTACACAGTATAAATATAATAAAGACACAGTCAAATACAGTGATAACCATATGGTCTAAGATGGCTTAAGATTTGCAACCTAAATTTGTTGAATGTAATCGATAAGATAAGCATTAAAAAAGACTAGTATCACCTTGAAAAGCCATGCAGAGACTGAAACCTGGTTGAAAATCAAATAAATTCGATTTAACTTACATAATACCAATTCTTTGTAATAAATTCCGCTTAAACACAATTTTTTTTAATAACAAAAAGCACCAATGCGTAAAAAAGCAAGTACATAATAGTGTGAAGGGTCTAAAAAATCTTTTCCATGTAATCAATATTGGACGAACTATAAAATAACAAATTATACACAATAATAACACAAAAACCATGCTTGTTTATTTTATGGCGTAAAAATTCCATAATACGCCGACGGCCAAACACTTTCTACTTGCAAACGTAACAGTCAAGCCTACTTTTTCTGGTGACATAATCTTTGGTCCAGTTTTTAATGTTTTTGTTTCTTTTTCAACAGCGTGCCGATCTTCAAAGATTTGCCCGAAGACACACTTATCAAAATATCGGACGTGTTGGAAGAGACTCACTACCAGAATGGTGACTACATCATTAGACAAGGCGCCCGTGGTGACACCTTCTTCATCATCTCTAAGGGACAGGTAAGCTAATTTCAATATTGTTTTGTACCGATAGCATTCTGCAGTCCCGGAACTTTAATCTTCCAATTAATGTTTTACTAGCACTATTTTATACTGCGCGGTAGCTATTTGCATAATCGATTTAATCATATCTTCCGCAATAGGGTTAAGATTTCATTATAGCATAACTGTATTCGATTATTAAGTAACAAGTCATTAACTGTTTAAAATAATAGATTAAAAAATAATGTCCAAAATTGCAATAACAATATTTATAATCGTAAGTAAATTTTAAAGTGAACGTTGACATATTTGCCGTTATATCATGGTCTGTCTTTAAATAAACATTGTTAGTCACAGTCCACTAAATGGACCAGTAATAATACTTATTTATGCAAAACTTATCGATGTTTTATTCTAATCGTTGTACCAAAGAATGACTTATGGAAATTATGATGCTATTACTTAAATGGTCTTCTTCATCTTCTGATGCGTTAACGACTTTCTAATTCGATAGTTACAAGATTTTTTACATTTATCAGTAAAAAACATTAGTTCGACAATCACTTTGACATCCAAAAATAGTTTCTTCGAATGACTTTATTATGATGTGGTCATTTATTACGATGACATCGTGTTCCAAAGAAATCTGTTCCAAACATAATTGTATGAAGATGTTCACGGACCACGAGAATTTCACTTTCGTTGTTTTGAACCAACTTTCGAGTGTCCAATGCTCGGGGCGACGTGACTTTTTTACCTTTGACCACGCCTCTATGTTTTGTAAACATATCCGTCTTTGGAACCACGCAATTTGATTATCTGTAATCATCTATTCGCTTTCAAAATATTTCTCGTGATGATATAACATCGACATTGTATTAGTTATGTTCTTTTAGGTTCTTTGTTAGTCATCGACAGTTTTATCCTCAATCTGATTTTCAATATTTTTAAGATAAGTAATAACAATGTCTTTCGTTGGGAATGAGATGAGTTTAGACTGAAAAGTAGAAAGTATAAATTTCGTAAAAGTAATGGGACTCTCTGCTACCATATCAGTTTTCAAAATTAGATTATTTAAAGAGAAATATGAGCATGGAGTCAAGATAAAAAATTCAAGAAACTGTAGCCATCATTCATGTTTGTGTAACTTTAAATTTAGCTGTCACAACAGTTGTGATCATGTAGCTACCTATTTCTAAGAGACAAAGTTTCGAAAGTCTTAACATTATTTCCTTTATGTTCGCATGACGCTAAATTGTATAAGCTTCGTGCAGCAAACGCGGTGACTGTGCAAGAGGTTCACCTTGGCATTTAGCATTACGTCTCCGCAAACATTGATTGTTATTTCTGACCGGTGTAAATGTAGATATCTATATTATAACTTAACACTTTATCCTTGATATAAAAACAGTTGTAGAGGTCGATATTGCTAACTAATATTTAAAAATATTCAAGTATGAAAAGGATATTTAAAATTACAATATACGTCCTATTGCCAATATTTGAAAATGCATCTTCAGTGCTTGGTCATGTTTTTAATGCAAGTTAACTAAAACTTGATCTGTATGCTAGAAGTCGTTGTACTAGTTTAATTAGGTACCGATTTGATTACGTTTTTTTTCTTTATAGGACTATTCGTAACATTGTACAAACAATCACAGCTGGTGTGACTCAATTTTTATATAACACGGAGGTGGTAGAGGCCAAAAGCCCGGCTATTGTAGCCACAAGGTCAGCGCACTGTGCACAAGCGAGAGGATTGTATGGTATTTTGAGGCCATATTTTTGAACGCTTTTGTGGGAATTATTTGGGCATACCGGACTTATTGTTTGGATAGTCTTGTCTTTGTTTCTAAATCGAACGAATCTGACAGTTTGACAGTTTTAAAAACAAGTATTTTGTCTGTCTCACTTTACGTGATTGATGGGTAGAAAGTTACTTCGATAGTGATTCTGTGATGTTTACAAATGTACGTGTGTCGGCTTTGTGCAGAATTATAAATATTGTCCATGTGCATAAGTTTGTTTGAATAAACATCGAAGTGAATGAAGTATTTCAACACAACTCAATTAACAAATATTTTTAGATAAACATAAACCACTGTTACTAGTTTAGAACTCGTTTAGATTTTTATTATCTAGCTGATTAAGATACATATAATATTGTAGGCTCATCCATTAGGTGGATATTTAAGTAATTAGGTACCAATTGGAAAGTTTTTGCTCCACGCAGATGTGATTGACATCAGAACATTTTCAACTTTTTGATGTTCATATTTTTTTGGATCTAAAGTCAAATGTGAACAGCATAACATTTTTTAAAGAGATTTATTATGTTATATTAGGCACAATTGCAGATTTTCACGCTGCCAACTTTAAGGTTAATGGCGAGATTTTTTTGCAGTATTAAAATAAGGAAAATATCTTACTTGGTGAAGTAGAACATTGTTATCATTTGCGTTACAAATCTGCAAGGTTGCTACAGCATTGGGAGCATTGTTCTAAAAATCTCTGAAATTACTAAGCAACGAATCAAGCTTAACAAAACATCGTACAAATGAAGTAATTATTCTATTCTTCTGAAATTCATTTATCATTATTACATTACTACAAATAAAATGTTCCCAAATTTTAAAGTAATAAAATGTTGTAATACGTTGAATATTCACATCGCCAATAAAGTCATTACTGCTGCTTCAAATGCTGCATTACGTGATTTTCTATGTTTGTTAACCAATATGTAAATGTAATTATTTTGGACTATAATTGCGGATGGATGGATTGATGTAGTAATACGCACACAAACTGGTTATGTTAGATTAGGCAATTAGACAGTATAGGGAAAGTCTAGTTATCAATTGCAGATTTAATGTTGCATTTTCCCAAACCACCTATAGCATGTTCAGCCGGGGTTGCGGGGTAAGCGCAATTAGGCACCGCGACCTCGGCCCAGAGCAGGAGAAGGAACAGGGGGGTTTTTAGTCAGTAAGAGTCTGACACTCCCTCACGCCCGGCCCTGGGCGGGAGAAGTCAATTGATGACTTTCCCCTCACAAAAAAAACCTATAGCATGTAACTTAACAATATTCTTCAGCGTAATAAAAGCAATAGATAAGATCATATTTATTACTCACTAGATTTTACCCGCGGCTTCGCTCTCGTCATATGACTATCTAATCTACACCTTACCTAGTTACCTACCTACACCCCACCCTACATTACGTACACTATCCTACCTAGTCTACCCTACTTAACCAACACTACCTACCTCTAGTATATCCTATGTTGTTCTTCTATTTCTAAATTACATCATCAGCAATTATCACCGAAATCGGTTCAGCTGTTCTTGAGTAATATAGTATGGCAATGTACACGACTTTTTTATACATAAATACTATAGAATAATATAAGTATAGATATCTTGCAACGCATAGAATCAATAACAGTTTACTGATAAGCAGTCTGAACGCAAGAACAAAAAGAAATTTTCAAATGATACAAAAAGTATTAAAAGCTAATTCGGCAAAAAATGAACAGAATCTATTCGCTTTGTTGAAAATCAAAACATGAAACGACCACACAATTGGACACACGAAATGACCGACTAGATCAGTTGTTAAAATTCTTAGAAATTAAACATTTACAAAGCAAGCGCCTCTTAAATCACTGAGCTGTGACAATAGTTCCCGTTTTGTTGATCTTGTAAAATTATCCGGATGACTTCATCAGCGTCAATTGTTATTATTTTCATGTTGCATTATCTTTTGCATTTCCGTTGTTATCTCATCAATGTTTGTAAGTTTTTCCATTTTATCTTCCATATCCAAATTTGGTTCATATTTAACTTTACTTGGTTGTAAAACCGTATCCGGTTTATTTGGAATAGCCAGTGCTTTGCTTTTCTGTCTTTCATCAAACAGATTTTTATGACCCTCACGGTTATTATGACTGTACAATGTAAGTTAACACTTTTTTTATAAATACAGTTGTTCTTGTCACATAACAGTTTATGCTTATTTATAATTCGTCGTGAGGTGTGAACGTTTCGGCTATTTAGTTTTAATGCATCATTGAGCATTTATCACGTTTTAGTTCATTGTTGAACCATGTATACAGTTGGATACGTGATTATTGATCTGATTTAGTGTGATTCAACTTTTTGATACCGTTGGCTGTTCCAATTACTACTGGCTTAGGTTTCCTGAGAAAAATAAAGAATTTATTGCTTCCCTTATCAATTGTGCAGACTAATTACTAATTTACATAGCGGAACCGGTAATTACATGTTCTTGACTAAACTGCGAACTATATTACGATGCTTGCACATGAGTGGCCGTTACCCCTCCGTGCCTTACTTCAGGTCCATCCGGTGTTTAATGACAACTTTCGATGTTGTCTAAACGTCCGTTCCACGTTTTTATAATAACGGTAATAAGCTCACTGGACCTGTTATTATGCTCTGCATCTACGCTATTACAAAAACGTCAGTCATTTTGACGTCAACGTCTAATTACGTCAATTTTTAACAATGCAATGATTACAAATATGTTTAATGGCTGGTATACTCGAACTATTCCTTTATGAAGTATTATTTAAAAAAAACAGAGACTTATGCTTTTATTGTTTATTTTTCAGGTGAAAGTCACTCAGAAACCACCAAACAGTAATGATGAGAAATTTATAAGAACTCTCACGAAAGGCGATTTCTTCGGAGAGAAGGCATTGCAAGGGTAAGCTTGACTTGCATTAATATTGTTTGAACGTATAAATCTACTGGTTCATAAATCTATTAACAATTATTTCTTTTAAAGTGAACACACGGAATGTAAAATTATTTAGCGCACAATGACTTGTAATAAACTAAACAATTATGATGAGAGATTGATATGTAACTTTCTTTGTTGTATATCACTTTTTCTTTTAAACGCATTTCAAAGTAGTAGGTATATTTTTTAATTTTCAAATTACAGGGATGACCTTCGAACAGCTAACATTATCTGTGACTCGCCGGAGGGCACGACTTGCCTCGTCATCGATCGGGAGACCTTCAATCAACTCATATCGGCTCTCGACGAGATCCGTACGAAATACAAGGACGAAGGAGACAGCAGGCAACGGTGAGTAAACACTTTTACTGGAATCGTCATCTAACACTTATAGTTTCAACTTCATTCATTCATAGTTTCTTACATATGTATGAGTCATTGTTATAATTAGTACAATTCACATGACTGTGCCATGTCCTGTTGTCTACATTAGGTCCCATACATATTATCACAGTTGGCTTAATTCATTATTATAAAATACAACAATTTTATTTTTATATGAAATTATTCGATGCACTAGCTTGTTGTGGTTACTTGCTAAAGTTTGATAAAGCTTTTATTTTATCATCTTTTTAATGACCGTGAGAAAAATGTACCTAATTAAATTTTAATAGAGTGATTATTTTCAACCATCAATTAATAAGGTTTTATGCTTGTGAACGTACGATGTCAAGTTCACACTGATCCAAAACTAAGCCAACTGCGATAACATCAGAAAAATTACCGCGCAGATGCAGCTTCGCCATTGTGTGGTTATTAATCATTTTCATACTCCCAACAATGGCCGCTGCAATATGAATAGAAATGATAACAAATTGTATCTTAATTTCACCGTCTATACTAACTCTATTTTTTATTTCGATGCAAACAATATGGATGCGAATGTATGGTAAGTCGTAGAAATTAAAAATAATTTAGAAAACTTTCTCCTCATCAATGTCGAATTTTAATTAAATAGTGGAAGCAAATCGGTTATTAACTTTCCTCTTTGACGTAGAAAATATGTCTACCACGGCATTGAGCGATAACAATTACGTTTCCCGCGTTTTTGTTGCACAGATTGTGAAGTGCGAATGAAAACAATGGGCGCATGCCGCATCTGGATGACTTAGTAATGGAATCGCAGCAAAAACCAAAGATATATCAATTAACTCTAAGAAAGTTATTATTGAGTTGGTAAACTGATGGTTTGGGGCCATTTCTTTATAATGAAAAGAAATCAGTCACCGAATATCTAGACTTTTTATTTACATGTAATTCAATATCTGTCTCGCTTTTGCGCACACGGTGGTTGAATATCTACATGTCGTATCTACACGTGTTTATGTTGACATAGTCTTTATCAATAATTCCTGGTATACCGGTTTTTATTATTACATAACTCGTATCAATCAATAATGTAATGATATACGAACGGCAACACTAAGAGGAAATTGATACTCTTTCAAGAATGTTTCTTCGATTTTGCAATATTTACAAGGAGATTATAAAAAATTGCGTTGTTCGAAATTTGAATAAAATAAATTTAGTCGTGAAATTGTTGGGTCAAGACCACCTCCCGAGACAATTCACAGCCACATACTGTCAAAGTCCATTCTTTGTTAAAAGATTCAAATTCGTTCTATAGCCGTTAGAAAATAAAGTTTAAGGTCAAATTTCTAATAATCTATCAACTTTTCCAGATTGAACGAGGAATTTGCCAATTTGCGTCTCTCAGACTTGCGTATCATTGCGACGCTGGGTATCGGAGGCTTCGGTCGAGTGGAACTGGTCCAGATCCAGAGCGACTCCAGCAGGTCCTTCGCTTTGAAACAGATGAAGAAGGCCCAGATCGTTGAAACTAGACAACAACAGCACATCATGTCGGAGAAGGAGATAATGTCAGAAATGAACTGCGAGTTCATTGTAAAATTATACAAAACATTCAAGGATCGTAAATATTTATACATGCTGATGGAGACTTGCCTTGGAGGAGAGTTGTGGACTATTCTAAGAGATCGAGGTGAATAGCAAATTGATTGTTTCTATTTCGATTGAAATTTTAATATGTATTTATATTTTTGATCTGCTTCATTTGCATATTTTTGTTTTTTAAGGTCAATTCGACGATGCGACTACAAGATTCTATACTGCTTGTGTGGTTGAGGCCTTCCATTACCTACATTCGCGAAATATTATTTACAGGTGAGAAACTATTGACTGCCGTTATAAGTCATAAGATTAAGCTAATTATATTAAGAGGAGACTTTAACTAACTGATTTTAAAATCTTTTCCAGGGATCTCAAACCAGAGAATTTACTATTAGACTCTAAAGGATACGTTAAACTAGTAGATTTCGGTTTCTCAAAGAAGTTGCAAGCAAGCCGCAAGACTTGGACTTTCTGCGGTACGCCAGAATATGTAGCCCCTGAAGTTATCATGAATAGAGGTCATGATATTAGTGCGGATTATTGGTCCTTAGGTAAGATCAATGTTTATGTTTAACCTTAATACACATATTTCATTTTCCTTATTATTATCTTGAATCAAAGTGTCCTTTTTTGCTTCTAATAAAAACGTTCACCTTCAAACGTTTTTCCATAGTTGTTTTCCCAATGATTCCTACCGAATCTAATTGTGATTAACTAACCCTTACATTAATTGCTTTAACATTTTGTTTGTAGAAGCAATTCGTTTCCCCATAATTTATTCCTTCCTTCGTTCCTTCAATTACATTGATTGTAGTCGATAATTGCAAAAATCCGATTTCATTAATTATATCCTCTTTAACATAACAAACTTCATTATTTCAGGTGTTCTTATGTTTGAGCTGCTCACTGGCTCACCACCATTCACGGGCACTGATCCAATGAAGACATACAACAAGATTCTCAAGGGTATCGATGCGGTGGAATTCCCTCGCTGTATCACTAGGAATGCGACTAATCTGATCAAGAAGCTGTGTCGGGACAATCCTGCTGAACGACTTGGCTATCAGAGAGGAGGCATTACTGAGATACAGAAACACAAGTGAGTATAACTAAATGTTTATCTAAAGGACACTGCATGTCATGGACTATTTTGATAACATTCTATTATTGGACATTATTATGAGTTAGCATATAAGAAAAGCTTAATGTTAAGATATTAGTTTTATTCTTAATTATTTCCGTATACCTACACTGAAATTCCTTCTTCTTTTAATATTATGTTGACTGGTAGTGGTCTCACGATACAGAAAAATTTAGTGTGGGGTCTTGGGCCATACCTGAATTTATGTAAAGCTTGTAGTTCAATAAATATATTTTTAACTTTTTTATTTTTTATATAAGTTGACACTGAACTATAAAGTTTTGTAAAAGAAAAACTATTAGTCGTTAGATTAGTTTTTTTTTCTTGATATAAAACTATTGTATACTTAATCATTTGTCTCTATTTTCCAGGTGGTTCGACGGATTCAACTGGGAGGGTCTGGCGCAACGTTCCCTTGAGCCACCTATCACCCCTGTAGTGAGATCGCCAATCGACACTCACAACTTCGACCAATATCCACCAGATGCGGATGAACCACCACCAGACGACCTCTCAGGATGGGACAGTAATTTCTAAATTACCTGAACCACCAGTTATTGTTAAACTTGTAATACTATCTCATATAAAGCAGTTTATGCATGACGACAAAATGAAACGCAAACCTACACGTTTACGATTTAAGTTGCAAATGCGTTATCGTTTTCGTCATTAGGGAGGTCAAGTTCATCCAATACGTATCTATTTTACTTAATATTACGAAGTATAGTGACGTTTACACCAATCTAGCACATTAAGTAAATTGTTTTCAATTTGTTATAGTTCCGTCACTTGAATATTATAATGCCATTAATTGTTTAGTTGTTAGATCTTGCCGGTTGCTCGTCAACTGCTTGTGGTGTTCGGAGTCTTCAAAACGTAAAGAATATATTTACACTTTGAACATCACTATGTATTTGTAAATAGCTTAAATTATGCTCTATACCTAATTAAAGTCTCAACTATTAAATTTTTATTATTTTTATTTCTATTTTAGTAAATCAATGCTTATTAATTCGATTCAACAGTAGTGCAATATCAATAGCAAGAATGGTTCTAACTTTTGTACTTATTTTAACCTTTACGTATGTATTATTGAAGGTATAAGTGATCCTCGTGTGCTGAATGGTGCATTACGTAAAAGTGTGTCTTTGGGATCTTATCAGTAAAACACTAAACGCCTGTGACACAATTGATTATCAAAATCAAAGAAATATCCAGACGACATTCATACTCTAAGGAGTTTGAACATTTCTTTTTTTATAAATTTTTTGGTATCTTTTAATTCTTACCTATTTCTAAATACATACATACTTGTTTTTTTATTATAAAATTAACCTTATGTCCAATAAAGGTTGAACCTATACGATATATATTCCTGTTGACTGCATGTGCCAACATAACTGGTCTCCTTATAGTCATATATTTTCTTTTTCTTGTAGAGCCCTAGTTTTTATCCAAGGTGACCGGAATGCCAAAATAATGTGTTACCAGGAGATATGTTGACAGTTATTTTCCATGCTACTAAAATCCTACTCTTCTTTAAAAATCAATTATATGTATATTACTATATTTTTTGTTATCTACTGATCTATCGAGTTGTAGATTTTAATTGTCTTTATTAATACATAATTTTGACTATTGTAAATTTTGTCAAATACTTAAAAAAGTAATTCAAAATTAAAATTAATAACTTTCATATTTTTTGTGCATAATTTACAATATTCATTATTGTAATGTACCGGATTTAATTATTAAAATATAACAGAAATAATTCAATAATTTTATTTCTTAATAACTTCATTATTAACGCAATATTTAGTATATTTTATAATTATGGCAGCATTTCATTTTTCCAATACATAAATCCGTTTATAATTTAAAATACATAATTTTGGTACCCATATTAGTTACCTAATTAAGTGACATTTTATATGAATTCTTATACATATAATAGTATAAACATACATAATTAAATTGTATTTATTAAGTTTAAATATAAAATTGAGTCCACTAATAGTTACTTCAGTTATATTTAGGTTGTCATGTACGAAGCCTTGGCTTTATCGGTAGCTATATCTTAACATGACATAAATTAAGACTTATTGTAACATGAAATATTCATAACATCATGTCAGCTTTTTCGAAGAAGGATTTTCTTGACGTTATGTTTTTAGTCCCCTGTCATTGATGGCACAATTTCAACTGGTGTGCTACAGTAATGAATTTCTAAATCAAAAAACCTTTTTCATTTATTAGAGGTTTTAATGTATTACTAGACTGGAGAACTAAATAAGGAGCTCGTCCATCATAAAACGGGGCAGTAAATTCATCTTGTAATAGTCAAATTAATAAGTCTTCCGTTTAGACAAGGCGTCAATGTAAATAATTATTTTAGTAAAATGTAAACGTAATTACAATTGTGTAAGTATGAATAACACTATATAAAGTTTGGGTGATGCAATTGAAGCTATGTAATTAAAAATGTTTTATTTTTTGTAATTGTAATGATAAGAATACTTATTTTTGTAATCCTTAGGATAAAAATAATTAATTAATTAAATGCATAGATATTCTATTGTTTTTTTTTTGAAAATGTAAAAATACACTATTTCAACTGATGACTCTTGTTTTAATTATGAATTGTGATATAAATTAACATTACGGTAATGTGTTAACAATTTTATATACATTTTTTTTTGTAGTAAGTACGACTACACACACCAATAAAAAGTGTACACAGATAAAAAGAGAATTATTTAGAAAGGGAAAAAGATATTATTATGTTTCTGTCCTTGTTATTTCAGGTGTGACGTCATTTACATGTCATTTGTTTTTTATGTACTAATGAGACAATGCTGGCAATGCGATACACAAGGCATTTTAATTCAGAAAAGGACCATGATATATTCCAGTACTATCATTTCGGATGTAGTGTCACTGGCACAAAAAATCAAATAACATATTTGATTTTTTTTTATCGATCTGGCGAACGTTAGTGCTGCTTGCGAGTGGAAAATGTATCTATCTAGGTACAATGAGATTAATATATCAAAATTTCCTACATAGCAAAACAAATCTATAACAGGAAATTATGGTGTGCGTAAAAAAATATATTGATTGATTTTTTGTAGATAATTGTCCTGAATGTAAGTGTAAAGTGATATTATGTTCGTAGTGGTATTATTCGTGAACGGATTCCAACTAGTGTTACCTAAAATACAATATATTATCTAGAAATTGATCTTTATTCGAATCTAGGTTTTTCCCAAACTTTTTAGTTCGGAGGAGAAAAGAATGACATGAAAAATCTCCTTATTTTATTCTTAAACCAAAATATTTAGAAATCAACTATGATACATATATTGAAAAAAAAAATTGTTGGAGACAAATCAAATGAGCACCCTGATCACGTATTTGATGGTAAGCAATCGGAACCGCCCATAGACACTCGCAATACCAAAGGAGCAACAAGCGCATATCCGATCTTTTATGGGTTTTTGTATATGGTTACTTGGGGATTGAGGATTGAGGGAGCTACCTCCCTCAGCATAATCCTACGATTATGCTGGTGTTAATTTTATTCACATGTTGTACGCTGGTATCGTTTCGAGTGTGTCTGGGCCCGCGCGAAATCAAAGAGAGTACCCACAAAAATTGTACTTCAATGTAATTTTTTAAATAGGCTAGACTCTTACCTAATTAAAAGTTTATTTAAAAAAAAACATTGCCCCACACTAGGATTTTCTCCTGTGTCGTGGGTGCGTTTACAAATACCTCACATACATCATAGACCCGAACCAAAAAAAAATGTTTTATAATACCTCTAGAATCAGTACAATAAAGTTTGAAAAATCCAAGGTTCTGCCGGAGTGGTCCACGGCCACGGTTGTGCTTCACCGTGTAATTCAGGTTACTGGAGACCAAATCCTTATCCTACCCCGTGTCTCTGATCGGCGGCGGTAACCTCTCGCGCCCGGTTTTAGTCGAGGCCATGGTGCATAGCGAGAGGAACTGGGATAGCCGTCTCCTCTTTGTGTGAAGCAGGTATGCTCGCAAAGAAAGAGTTGGACTGCGTGAGGAACCTATCCTTCTCCTGATCCATTGAGATTCGGCTTACCCCGGCTGAACATCAGCTCTATAGGGCCCTGTCTGTAGTGGTCTATTGGCTCTTTGAGGCACCTACGGAACGCTACGCGCCGTCCTACGGGCCTGGTTCCAGCTGGCGAGCAACCCTTACTCTCGAGATCGTTTCTCGATCCCCGACGCCCGGAGTGTCGCCTGCTGCGGTGGCTGGGGCGGTCCACCTCCCTCTTTGGGAGTATAACTGCTTCACAGAAGGAGGAGACAGCTTCCGAGTTCCTCTTGCTCCGCACCATGGCTTCGACTAAGGCTGGGTGCAAGTGGTCACCGCCGCCGATCACTTCCCCGTGGACACGGCGGTGCTCAGCCCAGGTATATACCGCCACCCTGTCCTCTAGGTGGTCTTCACAATGACGAGACTCAGGCGTTTCCTCAAGGTGAATCCAAAACAGGAACCCACCGAAGCTGCTGTGCCCGGTAAGGACCTGCGTCAGGCGGAAGATGAGGACGCCGTGGCATCTCTCAAGCCACTCCTGAAAAAGGGGTCTTACCGCTGGCTATAACAGCGTACCCGGCCCTCGGCGATTAAACTTCGTAACAAGTATATTTTAACTTTTAGGCATTCGGACCCAACTATCCGTCTCAAAACAAAATAAATAAATCTAAATCTACAATCAAATTGAATCAGATTTTAACCGGCCAACTCAATATCGAACCGATTCAAATAATTTTACAGAATTCGAGATTTCGTTTGGCATTTCCAAGTTGGCTACTGCATTTCTGTTTGGGTGTGGTCTAAGTATGGAAGGATCAATTATAATATTACTACCTTCTACCTGCAAGCTTCGCTCCTGTCATTTTGACTACCTAAACTAATCAACCTAGTTACCTACTTTACCCTAGAGTACGCAGTAGGTATGGTAGGGTACTCTACCTACTGCATAATAATAAGCCCTTCTCCCAGTTCATAGCTACCTCTACCATTTTTCATCCAAATCAGTTTAGCCGTTCTTGAGTTATAAATAAGTCGTGTAATTAACACTACTTTCTTTTAAAAACCTTTTTATGTAGATTATACTACGTGAGAGTACTCGCTATTCACATCACTAGAGGCGCTAGCGCAGCTTAAAGTCTATTGACAGAATATTTGCCTATGTGAAGTTAGTAGTCAGACAATTTATGTGATCTGCCGAATTATAATACGACCGTACCTATCACACTAGTTATTATTTTTTTCATCATGATTGTAAACCGTTTAATTACTTATTATGATACTACATTTATAAAAAAAACGACGAGTGGTCTATTTTCTTGGCACCTTTTCAGAACGGTGTTGAATGGGAGCCCGCCCATATTATGTATTTTATTTTATTTTTTTGGTAAGAAAAATGTTGTGTGCTACAAAAATAAGACATCCGCAGAAATACAATGCTTATTTTAATATTACAGACTTCTAGTCTTTTTTTTTGTATTACCTACTTTCTGATCTGCACGGCCATAGGGACTTTATAAATATGGCGATGTAGCGATATGGTCGTATGTACCCCTCATATGGGTACGATGGGTACGACATTAGGGGGTTGATACGAGGGTACAGGGGTCTTTTAATCCCCTTGATTAAAACATTTGTGTGAAATATCACAATGTCGAGGGAGTTCGCTTCATTATGGTTACCCTTCAATCTTTTATGGGATTTTACTTAATATTTATGCGATTTTTATTAAGTTATGGAAGATTGATTTAATTTTCAGTCTTATCAAGAATAATAATAATTTCTCAAATTCTGCCAATATGAGTCAGTCAAAGCTTTTCACTGACGACTATATTACTAAGTTAACTGAAATATACCAAAAATTGCTTTAGGGACTTTAAATGACTTGCTTTGTAATTTTGACTCCAAAACAAAATTGAGATTATTTTAACGTCTCAGCAAAAGCGCGATTTCATATGAAATTAAAAAATTAAAAACACTCTGACCTAAAAAAGATACGCAATTATTATTGGAAAACGTTAAATACTAAATTTTATAAAATACTAAAACTTGCAAGTAACCTGAACAATTTCCGCCAAACAACTAAACGCTAGACTCACATACTTTTAAAACAAAAAAAAAATTGCATTAAAATCGGATCATCCGTTTGAGAGCTGCGATGTCACAGACAAATACATACACACACAAACACTTTTAA